TCAGGACTGAGAAGTCTGAGGCTTCGGATTTTTCTTCCCCAAACAGAAGAAACTTGTTTCCAAATATGAGTCAAGGTTGGTTTTAATGTGGTTTTTTCCCCCCATCTGAGCTCTGATTCCATCCTGTTCCTAAGAAATGTCTTTAAATTCCTGTTCTTGTTGGCCCCTCCCCAGGGCCTCGAATATAGGAGCCCTGCAGGCATCTTTGTGGAATTTCTCATTTTCTGTGAGAAAAGCTGCTTCTTTTCTCCATGCCTCCACCATTAACAAAAGACAATACAAAAGATTTCTTTACTTTTAATATTTCCATTGGCTTAGAATAGCAAGTTTTTGGATTTGACTCCCCCTAATTTAGGAAAGAGATGTAGGCATTCCCCCCTCCCCCCCGCCCCAAGGTTCAATTTCCAGTAATGTGAGCCTAAAGATTTATAAAATAGATTTATATTAAATTATGTTAATAGAAGCCTAGTAAATGCACCACTTAATTGCATGGAAAAATGTTCCCTTTTAAGAGGTCTGTCACCTTAACAGGTACATACAAAGATTCCCTGTGAATAATGAAAATAGAAACAATTGCTTTGATGCACTGAGCTGCATTCATGTTTAGGAGGTGTTAGGCTGTGTTTGGAGAGGATAGGAAGAGCTCCTTTTAAATCAGGGATTGCTCCTTTAAACCAAATTTCTTCAGTTGGAAGTGTCATTCGCCTCCCCTCACACCCTTAAGGTCTGGCCTAAGATCCAACCCATTGCTCTCTCTAGTCTCCCCTCAATGTTCAGCTTTTTATTCCTTCCCCCAGCCCAACTCTGAGCACCTTTCCACCTCCCTCCAAAAAATCTCCCAAGAAGTACCATGAAAAATGAGTGGAACCTGCAGGAAAGGTATAAACGGGGTGGGGGGAAAAGGAAACCTGGTAAAAATAACTCTTAACTTTTTAAAAATATATTTTTTTATTGTTGATAGTATTACAGATATTTCCCATCTTACCGCCCCCCCTTTACTCCCTTCCTCCCAGCCCTTACCCACACCCCCCCAGGTCTTCACTACCCTATTGCCTGCATCCATAGGCTATGCATATAAGTGTATAAGTTCTTTGGCTTATCTCTTCTCACCACCCCAACCCCACATGGAGATGTGCCAGTCTGTTCCACGCTTCCATGCCTCGGGTCCTATTTTGTTAGTCAATTCATTTTGTTCATTAGAGTCCACAAATAAATGAGATCATGTGATATTTGTCTTTCTCAGATAATTCTTCTCTTTTTGTTTATTTTTAATTTTTTAAAATATATTTTATTGATTTTTTTTACAGAGAGGAAGGGAGAGGGACAGAGAGCCAGAAACAACAATGAGAGGGAAACATCGATCAGCCGCCTCCTGCACATTCCCCACTGAGGATGTGCCCGCAACCAAGGTACATGCCCTTGACCAGAATCGAACCCAGGACCCTTCAGTCCGCAGGCTGACGCTCTATCCACTGAGCCAAATCTGTCAGGGCAATTCTTCTCTTTATGTAACATGACCACCACCAATGAAGTTATTTTTCTCTCACATACACATATACATATGCACACATACACTCACACAACCATGTACATGCATGTACATACACCTATACACACAGACCCTGTTGCCCTCTGTGACCTCTTTTAGCTAGAGCAATCACCTTTCTGGCAATTCCCTGACCACAGTCAGGGTGGACCAAACAAACTACATTTCTAGTCCAGATCAGATTTAAAAGGGTAGAATTGGTGGGGAGTGGGAATGAGGGGAGGAGGAAGGAAGCCAGAAATCAAAGACTTGACATCCCAAGTTTTTCTTTCTCCTAAAATATTCTTAGATGTCCTTGGAGGAATGAGGTGGGTGGGAACTAAGCTGTGATGACCACTTCAGAATAAGGGGAGAGGGTCTATCTTCACCAGTGTCTCTATCACCTGGGCCCACGGGCACCCTAGGATGGGCTGCTTGGTGAAACCAAGAAGCCTTGCTGAGTGGGCTTGGCCTTGGGTGTGTGTTGGTCACTGAGTGGGTGGGTGAAGGGGAAATGTCTCTGCTCCTCCTGTTTTCTCTGAATGTCTAGACTGGCTCAGGACAAAGGGCAGGAAGTCATCCTTCCTGCTCTCCATCCCCGACCCTCCAACTCCGTTCCTGTTTAAAGCTACCACAGGACTTGTTCTCCAGGAGGCAGACTCAACCACACTAATGGCTCCTGCTGCTCACTTCTTCTCTCTTAGTGGAGCAAGGTCCTGCTTTCTCATTCTCATTCTCTTTCTCTCTTTCCATTATGTATCTCTAGGCCCCTGAAATACAGGGGCCCAGTCCTGTTTCTCAAGAGGGGGCAGTGAAAACTGGCATCTAGTGCTTTTCAGGTAGCAAAGTTGTCCAGGTGACCCCACATTTCCCTTTAAATAAACCTGGATTGCCGAAACCGGTTTGGCTCAGTGGATAGAGCATCGGCCTGCGGACTGAAAGGTCCCAGGTTTGATTCCGGTCAAGGGCATGTACTCGGTTGCGGGCACATCCCCAGTAGGAGATGTGCAGGAGGCGGCTGATCGATGTTTCTCTCCTATCGATGTTTCTAACTCTCTATCTCTCTCTCCCTTCCTCTCTGTAAAAAATCAATAAAATATATTTAAAAAAATAAAATTAAAATAAACCTGGAGACACTTCCCTGGGCGTGTTTCATATCAAGATTGATTAGCGGAGCATCTGTGTGTCTGAGTGTTGGCCTAAGTATTCTTAACCTGAGGAGAAACTGTAGGCCTTTAAAAGCAGACAGATTTCCAACGCCATATTCTGATTTGCAAACTTCAAAAACATCAACTGATTAGGGGGCGGATGGAGAATCCACGCTAGTGTACAAGGAGACCTCAGGCTTCACTCTGAACGGGATCAGAAGGTCAGTTGGCACAGAATGTCCTAGGACAAATAGGATACCCCTACCCCACCCCCACCCCCACCCCAAAACCCTGGGGAACCTTTCTTTGGAGAACGTCCAATGACTAGATAGGTATCTTTGCCTTTATCTCTTTGCTTCTGGTGAGGATTCATTGTTTACTCTCTCTTTCCTGAGTAATTTCCTCGAAGAGAGGAGGGAGAGGGACTGAGACCGCACAAGCAGCTCAAACTCAGTCCAGGGGAGTGCCGGGGGTGCCCCATCGCCTTGGCGGGCAGCGGAGCTGGCAGCATCGGGCGTGGTCAGTGGGTGGCTGTGCGTTCAGGGCGCAGGGCCTGGCGCCAGGCGTGGACTTGGGGAGGGCCAGGCCTGAGCTCGGGGACAGAGGGGGCCGGCCAAGTGTGGATGGGAGGAGGCAGTGTCTGCCCAACGCCCAGGCGAGGCTTAGTGTGGGACAGGAGGGCAGAAAGCGTCAGCAGAGGCTCTGTATCCGGAGCAGGAACTTTCCTTAAAGGCGCCTTCTTTGCTCCTCGACAGTCACTTCCTCCCACCCGCGTACTGGGGCCCGGAGAGGCCTGTCTAGTGGGAAGGAGGGAGACGGGATCTTCAGAGAAGGCAGCGGGCCGGCCCCCTCTCCCCTTCGCCGTGGGCAGGGCGAGGGGCCGAAGGCTGTGCTCGAGAGAGACCCAGAGGCTGCGCCTCCCTGCCCCAGGGGCGAGCTGGCTGCCCATGACCGCTGTGCAGGGCCAGGCTAAGTCGCTGCACAAAGCGGCGCCCGCTCCGTGTTCAGTTCGGCACCGTGAGGTCTGTCCTCCCTCCGGCCTCTCTGGGCCAGTGCCCGAATTGGAATTGATGGACAGGCCTGGAGTATCTGAAAGGGGGTTTTTCCTTCTCCCATGGGGAGGAGAAGGAAGGGAAGGAGAGAGGGAGAGACTCTGACGGGAAAACCTGTATCCCATCCTCCTTCCCTTCTCCTCCTTCCCTTCTCCTCCTTCCCAAATTAGCTTCCTGACCCCTAGTTTTAGAGCCCCAAGCCCACCTGGTGAGGTGTTGGTTACGACAGACCTAAAGTAATTCAAACCTAGAGGTCTGTGTATCTGTAAAAAGTTCCTGTGGTTTGACCTCTTGGTTGGAATCTTTACAGAAACTAATCAGAATTAACATCCGCGGGTGTTCATGAGCGTTAGCTTGCACAAAATGACTCCCTGGTTTCCCTGTGCCCAGCTCCGTTTCTCTTTCAGATGCCAGGACCTGGCAGCGCCAGGCTGCTGCCGAGGGCTCAGCCGGTCTCCTCCAGGACCGGCTTGCAGAATTAACTCCGAAAAGTGATGGGGAGAGAGGGACTAGAAAGGAGACAATTCAGGTTAAAGTCAGGGAGACCAGAAAAGAATCACATAAAAACGAGAGTCCAAAGGCACATTTGAGCTAGTTCAGAAAAGTGAGAGTGTTACCTTTTGTTTTCTTGGCATTGGTGAGACCCGCTAATTTCTTAGCTAGAGGAACAACTAGGAATGGCTATGTTTCTAGTCACAGCATTCTTTGTAAGTTTCCATGTGCACTTACAACCTGCTTTGACCGATCATGCTCTTCCTAAAACTATTGCAACTATTCAAATGTCTTCACATAATTCTGATTTTAGTATAAAGAGAGACGAGGGAAAAGGGAAAAAAAGGGGGGGTTGCCACAGAAAAGAAATACTAGGTAAGGAATTTTCACCTTTTCTAACTAAATTAAAAGGTTTGCCTGTCATTAATGTCAGCATCACTCTAAATGGAGTGATTTGTCCTGTCCACTGTGAGGAGGCTAGCTATTTTGAGGATGGGGATTACTGCCTGGTAGGTGACATCAGGACTGAAGGTGTCTCCTTGGCAGAAATTTCTGTTACACAGAAATCCTGTAGCGCCCCAACCTCCCTCGACCAAGTGCCCCACGGTACCAGTTTTAGTCAACACTTCCATCTGAATTCACAAACACTTTTTTCCCAGTTCCTGGGGAGAGGGAGACAGGGGAAGAGGGTGAGAGCAAACACCATGAATGCAAAATCTTGATTTTGTTTCATTTATTTAAATAAATATAAATATAATCTTATATAAAACTATTCACATAAAAAGGAACTTCCAACACTTGGATTTTAAACTCTCCCCAGGCAAGTTTTCAGAAAGCAAGGCCTACAGGTTTTACTTTTCTAAATTATTTGCAAATCAATACTTTTATTTAAAAAAACAAACAAAAGGAAATCATCAGGAAACCCGGTGTTCTTATCAGGTTCTGAAAGACAGTAGGGAAGGGAAAATGACAAGCGCTTTAAAAACAAAACCCAGGCGGTGCTAAACTTAAGCCAATGATGTGTTTTTTTTTTCTCTGTTATAAGACAAGACTGAGTTGAATCTAGGTTATTTACATTTAAACAAAATCTATTCGCATTCTCGAGAGTGGAACCTAAGCAAATAGGCCAAGGAGTAGACGCGAAGGATGGGCCGGGCTGGTACGCCCTGGGGACACTCAGCTCCGTGCTTCTGCAGGCGGGACCACGGAAAGGCGCGTATTTGACCCCTGGGTGCCTGCCGCATCGGCTTTGTGGGGGCTCCCGGGAGCGGGTGCTGAGAGGGAGGCGGCCCTCCCTCCCTCACAAGGGGGAAATCTCCTTGTCCTCAGTGGCCGAGGCCGGCGACAGGGAGTCCTCGTCCTCGGAGCGCGCGTAGTGCGCTTGGCTGCCGACGCACTTGCAGCCCGCGTGACTGTTCCTCTGCGTGCCCTTCCCTTCCTTCTTATGCTTTACCCGGCGATTCTGGAACCAGATCTTCACCTGCTTCTCCGACAGGTTCAGGTACGTGGCGATTTCGATCCTCCGGAGTCGAGACAGATACATGTTGGAAGAGAATTCCCGCTCCAGCTCCAGGAGCTGCGTGCTAGTGAACGCCGTCCTCATCCTCTTGCCATTGGGCACCTGGCTGACGTCCGAGCCCCCTGCACGCGGGCCAAGAGAGGGCAGAGAGGTCATTCTTGAGAAACTCGCTCCCACCCCACCCCCAGCCCCGTGCCATCCCTTGGAAAAGATGCCTCTCAAGGACCCCTTCAGGAGCTCAACCAAATAGCTGTATCCATCCCTCACCCTTCCCTCGTCCTATCACGTCGTTACTTAGCCTGGAAGGACAGAGATGCCCAAAGCGCGGAAAGGCCTTAGGTGTGTGGGAACGTAAAGCCCAAGGATTAAAGGGGGGCTGGGGCTGGCATATTCAGATCATCTCCTTTCTGGCCTAGCGGAGAGGTAGAGGCGATCCAGCTTAGCCCAAAGTGTGGAAACGCTTTAGCCAGCCCCACGCCGAGTATCACACTAAAATTCAAACACACCCACCCCAAACCTCAGCCAGTTGCTCAGCCCTCAAGTTCGATGTCCCTGAGGCCCCCATATTACGGAACACTTGGGGGCCAGGGACCAGGAATGAAGCGCACCAGACTCCTTGGAGAGGCTGGCAAGCTAACTTCCACCTTCGTGGAACTTCCTGGGACCTCTTCCCAGTTACACCGAAAGCCCCTCCTCCCTCCGCCCCCCAAGCTCCCACTCCCTCTACAGCAGGCGAAAAGTTGGTTCCCGAGAGCCAAGAAGGCGCGGCGCGCAGGTGCCCCAAGACCCCGCCCTACCCATGGTGAGGCAGTGGAATCTCCGCGGGTCCGCCACGTTGTAGGTGGTGGCGGCGCAGACAGGTGCGTGGTGCTGCGTGTGCCCCAAAGCCGCTGCGGCCGCTGCCGCTGCTGCCGCGGCAGCCGCTGCCGCCGCCGAGCCGGGCTGTTGGGGTTGGTGGTGGTGATGGTGGTGCTGCGGCGGGTGGTGGTGATGGTGCGAGTGGCTCACGCGCGGGCAAAACTGCGCGTCCCCAGGACCCGAAGAGAACTGACTCTTGAGCAGGGGCAAGGCCCCGGAGCCCCCCGCCGCCCCGCCGCCGCCGGCCCCGGTACTCCCTGTCCCTGCGCCCCCGCCTCCGGAGCCCGCCGGCCCCCGAGAGGAGTGCAGGTGCGAAGTGACGCAGAGCGGGCACACGCAGAACGCGCCGCTCTTGCGGGACGCGCAGCCGGGCCCGGACATGGACATCACCAACGGGGACGGCATGCCCAGCGGGATGAAGAAATCTGGCCCGGGGTGCGGTTCGGGCAGCGAGGGCGCGGGTCGCGAGGAGTCCTTGATGATGAGCGAGTCGACATAGAAGGAGCGCGACATGTCGGGAGGGGTGGGTGGCTGGAGGGCCCAGCAGGCTGTGGCGCCCCCTCCCTTCTCCTGTTCGGAGCTCTGCCCGGGGCGCAGAGCCGGTGCAGCCAGTCAAGCCCTTGGGGATGCGGAGGTGTCGGCGTCTGGGCTGCGAACAAAGGGGTCCCTGGAGAGGGCTGGTCCTGAGGTCCCCCGCCCAGCGCCCCGGCTCCGGGATTTTATAGCCCCCACCCCGGCACGTGATGCAGTTGAGTACCGCTCGGCTCAGGCTCCTCGGCTGCTCCCCACCCTCGGGATAGGCTGCCCGAGTCACACACAACAGAAGCGGCGAGGAGGGGCGGGCGCGCGGCAGGGAATAACTCGGAGGAGGGGGATGGGGGAGACTTTGCAAAATGTAGTTTTTGTTAATTTCGCGGGGAGGCCGGCCTCCTCCCCCTCTTTCTCCACGCTTTCCCGAGAAATCAGAGCTGAATCCTCCATCCCACCCCTTCTCCATCCTGGGCCCCAGCCCAACTCCTCCGCTCCCGGCCGCAGGGCGCACCAGGTGGAGACTTTGAAGCCTTTTTAATAGGGATGCCCAGTGCTCCCTGCTCCTCTGTGCCAACCGTGACGAAGGCGCGGTAAAGTGTGAGGCCTGCAGCTTGGAGCAGGATTGTGCAGGCAAAGACTGGCAGCAGCCCAGTCCGGAGCACAGCTTAGGCCACGGGCACACATACGGGCGCACGCGGAGTCCCTCAGCTTTTGGCCTTGGCCAAGGTCATTCATGTGGGTAGTTCAGGAGGGGTCCCGGGAGTAACAGTGAGGCCTCCCAGCTAAGAAGCTGACGGGCTTTTCATTCTAATTTCGAGAAGCTCTAAAATGCCTTTGCACTTGGGGCTACTCAGATCAATGACCCTTCTTTGTGTCCCTTTCTAATGGGCGGCTCCCCCTTTGGCAAAGAGAGATGTTGAAGCGTCACTCTTTTCTTTCTCCAAATGGTTCCACCACTTACCAACTCCATCCAAGGACTTTGGAGAGAGGACCTAAGCCCCAGCCCTCTTTGCTCTGGGTCCTCCCTCCTGCATCTTCGCATTTATAGATCTTGGGCAGCTGGCAGACTATCTGGGAAGCACTGTCCCCTCTGCACTCGTTTAAAACCCCAAAAAGATAGAAGGAAATTGAGCCATGCGAGGAATCCAGCCTCGGATGGCAGTATTTGGAAAAGGGCATCTATGAGTGGCACAGGGTTCCGTGGAAAACTTGGACACCCGTGGCTACGTGAAAGGGTGGCTGCCAGATGGGGCTATTGATCTTTGGGGAAGGCAAGGCCACAGCTTTCTCTTCTCCCCGAGCCCCCCACCCCCCTGTAGAAAATCTGTCCCGAGTAGCGAGGGTGAGCAACAGCTACAAATCTGACCCTTTCCCCGAAACAGCTAATTTCAGGCCTGAGTCCACAGTGGTGCTAAGAAATGTGGAGGCAGGACTTCCTGCACCTGTGAGAACCAAGAGCTCAAATCCTAGGGGAGCACCAGTTTCTTAGCTGGAGGCACGGCTGTCTCTCTGTCCTCTGTCCTTCTGTCCCTCCTTTTCTCTTTCCATCTCTGCGACAGTCTCTCTTGCCTGCTAGGGAAGTGTAATTGGGTTGTAGGGACGCCCCACTCTGGGGAGCCCAGGATTTATGGATGGCAATTAAAGTTTTATGAATTGCAGCTGAGGCTGGTTATTGAGCTATTTGAATGTGATTAGAATTCAATTAGAAAGTGGTTAGTGGACGGTGGGTCTCCAGAGTGTAAACAGACAGCTATTCCAGAAATGTGTTAATCCAACATCTTGTGACAACAATTAAGGAATCTCGGGGCTTAACTCAGGGCAGCTCAGCTGTAACTACTTTTGTACCACAAGGTTTGCCGGTGCAGCCATCGCAGATGCTCAGCCCGACCTCACTCGAATCAAATCAGGAGAATCCAGGCAGTCCCTGGGATCATTCCAGCCCCCAAAAGAAGACTGGGAGCTCCACCATCGAGAGAAGCTCAATGACAGGGTGTTTTTTACAGGCCTAAAGTGTCCAAATAGATGATATGATATTCCCATGCACTTGTAAGTAATATATTCATGTAGGTATATATTTAAAATTATATAACATATTTATAAGATATTATAAATTAAATATATGTTATTTATTTCCTCCCCTGGACGAGGTAGAAGTTATCCAAGATCTTTTTTGGGCTGAAGGTGTGGGTCACCATGTTCCCAGCAGTTCTGGGTGTGTTCACAGGAAAAACTATGCTAATGTGCTGGAAGTTGTGCTTCTGTGAGGACCATTTTATCTCGGAGAGTCCTAATTGCAAAGCTTGAGCCTCTAGTCTAGTCTAACTAAATGCATACCTGGCTACAGAAACGTAAGGTTGGAGCGCTAAGGAATTTTGATAAAAGTGAGAGGCTCTTGGGGTTGCTTAGAGCTGCAAGGGGAACAGCAGTTTGGAGCCACACTGAGGCCAAAGCAGACCATGGCTGAGACATTTGCCTATTAGGATACTTGGTTAATTGATTGAGCCCAATAAGAGCAAGTATTTGGGGGCAGGGGTCATGTTCAACATTAGAGTCTTAGACTTCTCTTTAGTTCTCCTTGGATCTCTCAGTGTTTCCCCTTCTGTCTGTCTATCTGTCTGTCTCTCTCCTTTCCTCCACTCCAGTCCTGTCTTCAGAAGCAGGCCCCACTATGCCTTACCACCGCCCCCCCCCCGCCCCCCACGCACACGCAAGGAAGCCTACCCTCCAAGGCAGTGGGCAGCTTTGCCCAGCTAGAACCTTCTCCAGGACGGCAGCATCTCAAAACAGCTCAGAGCAGGAGGGGACCCTGGGAAGACGCTGGCATGCCCCCATGGGGCCCCCACTGCTGCACAATTTTGTTTCTCAGTGATTCTGTCCGATAAAATTTCATCGTCCATTAAGTAATCCCTGAAATGAGAGCTCTTATGAGCCTATAATGAGCTCTAATTGCCAGGACTCGGGGAGCCACGTGGAAGGATTTATTCGGTATTAAGCAGTTGGGTACAGAGTACAGGCTGTTACCTAAGCCATTGCTTTCATAATTCAAGGAGAAAATTAGTTCTTTTAAGGCGGGGGGATCCTTTGATTTCCTCCCTTTTGCTCAGGATGACAGGATGGCTTTGTCTTCCTTGAGTGTAAGACGATGTCACAAATGCGAAGGTAGCAAAATTGTCTCCCTCCATCCCCCAACCCCTACCTAGTCTGGACCCCCCACCCTTACCCTCAACTGAGAAAGAAATCAAAGCAGTTCAGAGGTGCCGCCTTCTGCTCCTGGACGCTCCAACTTGAGATTTGAATTCTTGGTTGTTGCTTTCAAAATAGCTTCCAATACTTTACCCCAATCCGGGATCACACCTGACTTGAACCCCTCATTCCCTTCTCTTTCCTTCTTCCTTTTTCCTTTCTTGGGCAAAGTCCGAGAAAGTTGAGGGCGGGGACTTAGCATCGCTTATTCAACAGGCTCTAGAGTTCTGACCCATTGATGTACCCTGCGGTTTTTCCGGCTGTAACTCCCACTCTGCCCCTCCCTCTGAGTGTCCTTCCCCAAAAGGCCCCCCTCCCCCCGCATCCCTAGCCCCCTTTTCTCTCCGTTTCAGCGTTTGCCCACATGGTTCCCCTGCCCCAAACCGAGGCCGCGAGCAGGGCGGGACAACCCGGGAGTTGGCGGGGCCGCCTCGGATTTATTTGCTTCTCTTACATTGATTTCATATTAGTTTCCAAAGCGATGAATGATCTCAAAGCTGGGTTTTGTTAGGCGAACACAAACAGGAGACAGGACTTACTTGCCCCCAGCTCCCTTTAATGAGGTCATTATCAAAGCGTGAACAAGTCTATGAATGTTTTATTGAAAGCGCATCGTTAACTTGTATCCATCCTTTTCTCCGAGTGGCATTGTGATATTGCTGTCTGTGGCACATCTTACCCGATATAGCCCGAGATTTCCCCATTCTCTGTAACCAGGCAACCCTTTCTGAATACCCAAAAATTGAAAAGAACCGCTTAGTCTTCAAGAAAGTCCTCAATAATAGTGGAAAAGAACAAAGATCCAGGAGACAACAAAATGCCACAGGGGTGACTTTTCATGAGCAATTATCTCTCATTAATCAGAAGAACAGCTGCAATATTAATTTTCTCTCTTTCTTCCTCTCTTTTCACAGTCCCCAACATTTGAATAATCACAAATTTTGATTTTATGAAGGAGTCACATTTTCAGGGGCTGGAGGAAAGCAGCTACCTAGGTGAAGAAGGAGAAAACGCTCTGTTTTTTTTTTTGTTTGTTTTTGTTTTTTTTAAATTTGGGTAAAGCTGCCAACAAAGCAAAGTGGAAAAAATAAATGAGAGAAATACCAGAGAAAATGGTGCCCCCCCCCCCCCTTTCTTCTTCTTAGAGGGCCGCCAAGAATCGGAACTCTTTTCCAGCACCCGTACCCCTCCCTTCTTTTCTCCCCCTGCCCAGACCCATTCCCCAATTCTGCTCTGAGCAAGGCGGAGGGAAGTGTCCCTGGCGTCTGGCGTGGGAGTTTCAACCGGGTTTCTGCCCGTTTAACTTGCAAACGTGAAGCCAGGCGTTGTCGATCTGACCAAAGAGACACTCTTTGGGCGTAACTTGTTATTGTAGCCATCAAAAGCCCGCCTGCCTGGGATGAACTGAGCCGGGCATTCAGCAGAAGTGGGGCTCTCGCTCTCCTGAAAAGCGTCGGAGAAGCGATTGTTCACGGGGTGTGTAGGCAGAGTGGAAAAAGCGGGGTCTCCAGATAAGGCTGTAACCTGCACACAGTCTCGGGGGAGTTAAAGACTCTCATTAAAACCGAGGCTGCAAGGAGCAAAATGCACACTCAGAGCGAACGTAAGCCCTCTGGAGTCGGATGAAAGAGGGGCAGTTGTGAGTCGGTCCCCACATTCCTCCGCTGGCTGAGGGATGAGGCTGCCCCTTCCTCTGCCCAAATATTGTTACTTTTCATGCAGGGCCCGGCGAGGCCGCGCCGCGCGTTTTAAAAGGCAGGTTGCGAGCCTTGGGCTCACCCACCAGCAAAA